TAGATAGATAGATAGATAGATAGATAGGTAGGTAGGTAGGTAGGTAGATAGATAGATAGGTAGGTAGGTAGGTAGGTAGGTAGGTAGGTAGGTAGGAGATGGTGGGTGGGTGGGTGGGTGGGTGGGTGGATGGATAGATAGATAGATAGATAGATAGATAGATAGATAGATAGATAGATGATAGATAGATAGATAGATAGATAGATAGATAGATAGATAGATAGATAGATAGATAGATAGATAGATAGATAGATAGATAGATAGGAGATGGTGGGTGGGTGGATAGATAGATAGATAGATAGATAGATAGATAGATAGATAGATAGATAGATAGATAGATAGATAGATAGATAGATAGATAAGATCTTTTCTGCTTTATGAACTTTATTATTTTGAGGGTTTAAGAAGAAGGGGATGGTATAAGACAAAAGGCAGAAGCATTTTTTTCCCCATTGAATGTATTCTTTACCTCAGTTTCTCCATTTCTTCTATTTGACCTCGACAAAACCCAAGACTTTGAGTTTACATTTCACCTCTCGCCTGAGCACCTGGTTAACGTTTTGTTCCCCTTTCCCGGTTTTCCACAATCTTTTCTTTAAAAAAACAAAAAAACCATGGTCTTCCTTCCCTCCATAGCCCTGCAACGTCTTTATTTCAAAAACGCCCAAGCGCTCATCCCTCAGAAAGCCCGTGACACATTTCACGTCTCCCTTTGTTTCGACCGAATCTGCTAACAGACATGACCTGCAGATGTGCGTTGCGCCAGAAACGACACAATGCTTGACGCTTTTTTCATTTTCGAGGGCTTGTTTGTTTGTCTTAGCGAACTTTGCTTTTAATATCCTTTTTCACTTAAAAGTTGGCTAAATGCCTCCTCCAGTTATTTGAAGAGCTGCAGAGCTAAATAAATCGGTTTCCAAGAATCACAATTCAAGCCAGTAGTTGCTTCAGTTTGGGATGGCAGGCTTTGGAAAACGAACCGGTCTGGAATTAATGAAATAGTAGTCACATCAAAGGATCCCTGCCCTTTTTTTTTTCTTTTTCTTTTTTTTTAAGGGTCTTCTCTGCCTGCAGTTTTTACAGTTGGAAGACACAAAAGGGCGGAGAAGCGCTCTCGACTGATCGTCAAGATTACAAGGTTCACGTTTAGTTGAGTGCAGCACAAATTAATTGTGTGGTTTTAAGGAAGCAGCAATCTCTGAGCATTTTTTTAAAATGATGCCAGAAGCTTTTCAACACCACTAGATAGATAGATAGATAGATAGATAGATAGATAGATAGATAGATAGATAGATAGATAGATATAGATTAGACAGACAGACAGACAAACATAGATGAGAAAGAAAGAAAAAGAAAGAAAGAAAGAAAGAAAGAAAGAAAGAAAGACAGATAACCATTGTTATTCCACTGATTAAGTAATGGTAATTATCCATCTCTATCATCTACTGTATGTCTATCATCTTATCTATCTATCTATCTATCTATCTATCTATCTATCTATCTATCTATCTATCTATCTATCTATCTATCTATCTATCTATCTATCTATCTATCTATCTTATCTGACATCTACCATCTCTATCTCTGTATCTGTCTGTCTGTCTGTCTGTCTCTCTCTCTCTCTCTCTCTCTCCATCCATCCACCCACCCACCCACCCACTCATCCATCCATCCATCTCTATAGATCTATTTGTCTGTTTCTCTCTCTGTGTCTCATAATAAAATAATGCATGTTTATATCCAAGTAACATTTGTTGCTTTTATTACTCATTTGGAGCATTACAAGGTAATCTGATGATATATTAAAATCCCTACTTTCATCTATGTACAAGACACGCTACCTCATTCCAAAATGTTAATGCACATTGTCCATCAGGAATGAAATAATGAGGTAATAACAGTTTTAAAACTTTTATGCTTTCCACTGTTCCTAGGAAGTAACGTCTTAAAACAAGAATTTTTTGGTGTTTACCTCAGCAGAGTACTAGAATGCAGAAGTTCAAGTTTGTACAATGGACGTTATAGATAGATTTGCATAATTCTCTTTTAATATGTGTATTTGTCCATTGGGGTAAAATATGGCAAATAATGCTGTGTATCATATATCCCTCCAAAGAGTTACAGTCTAATGGCTAATTAAATGGGTTCTGTTCCAGTAGCTATTATTTGCCTTCAATTTAAGGAAGCAGTAAACTTTAAGCCTTTTCTTTTATTTTTAACGATACCAGAATCTTTTTCACAAAAGCCTTCCAAGTTTTTATCCCATTGTCTAGAAAACTCTGTAAGTTGCATGATTCCTCTTTTTATTAGAGAGTGGAGAGTCTTCAAGGGCAACTTAGCTCAGAGCCCAGAATTGTCATTTATATTATGAAAAAATTTCTGCGGGTGATAAAGTCAGATCTAAGTTATTCTCCAAAGTCTAGAGGGGGGGGAACACATTGATACTGCTGAGATAATTGATAAAAAAAAATACAAGTTTGGTCAACGTTTGGAGAACGGCCAATGCATTAAAAAGGAAGAGCAAAGAGAAATATCAGAATTGTTTGTATAAACCACTCGAAATAGTTCATTGTGAGGTTGTGACACACTGCCTGGCAATCCAGGCGGAGATGGAAGAATTCCAGACATGGTCTTCCCTTTGCGCAAGACACAGTGGTAGACGCAGGCGCTAAGTCTCTGCCACGGATTAAATTAAGAACTGTCCCTTTTTAACAGCCTAAGATACCCACCCTGGCTACATAGCTTCAAAGGATATAATTTCCTGTGTCAAATGGGTCTATTATTTACTGTACAGTTTTGAATATGTGCAGGATTGGAGAGTATACATAACATAAGAAGTATTTAGATGGCAGGGCGCCTTTCCTAGGATCTCCGTTGATCTACGGTCCGTGTCACCTGAAAGTGGTGGGTGGGTTACTTTTTCTTTCTTTCTTTCCACACAAAGAGCGATGACCCCCCCCCCAAAAAAGCTTCTTATTTTGGTTCTAGATTGATTCTGGAATAGGACAGCATCCAGGTCTCCTTGTCTAGCAGTCGGTGGTACAATATCTTACATTCTTTGTTGCTGCGTTCCAGAAAACCCACCTAACAGTTGGCCCCTCTTTGAGAGGACGCTGTCTCCTTCAGTGGAAAGTGTTAGGATTCGGTCTGATCATCATCACCACTTTCTTGAGGGAGTAGGAGCCCCCCCGGAATTCTGCCCAATAAACGCCATCTTGATAGCGACTGCGGTAGTGGCCCCCTCGGTACCAGACGCCGTTGAGGTTGGAGTGGGCGCACGCATTGTACCACCAGCCCCCTTTCTGATAGTGGGCGCAGTTGCCTGAAACAGAAATAAAAGACACCCCGTTTTGAACGGCTGGACTTATCTTACTCTGGCTTTTCAACCAGGTGTACTTTCCCCCTTGCGTCCCTCCTGCCGAATCAAGCTCAGCTCGGAAAACTTGGAAATAGAGACAAGGACTAATTCTATTCTATTCTATTCTTTATTTCTATTCTATTCTTTATTTCTATTCTATTCTATTCTATTCTATTCTATTCTATTCTTACTCTATTCTATTCTATTCTATTCCATTCTATTCTTTATTTCTATTCTATTCTATTCTTTATTTATATTCTATTTATTTCTATTCTATTCTATTCTATTCTTTATTTCTATTCTATTCTTTATTTCTATTCTATTCTATTCTTTATTTCTATTCTATTCTTTATTTCTATTCTATTCTATTCTTTATTTCTATTCTATTCTTTATTTCTATTCTATTCTATTCTATTCCATTCTATTCTTTATTTCTATTCTATTCCATTCTTTATTTCTATTCTATTCTATTCTATTCTATTCTATTCTATTCTATTCTATTCTATTCTATTCTATTCTTTATTTCTATTCTATTCTATTCTATTCATTCTATTCTATTCTATTCTATTCTATTCTTTATTTCTATTCTATTCTATTCTATTCTATTCTATTCTATTCTCTTCCAGCTGCCTTGTGAAAAAGGATCTTTGGGATAAGTATGACCTGGATGACTGAGGATCTCCATAGACATTCCATTCCATTCCAGATAATTTCAATGCACATTCTCCCAGAATTCAGATGTTTGTACCTGTGTATACATCGTGGTCTCTGTCCAGTGTGGTGAACTGTTTTCCGTTGTGCCACGTAAAGGAGTCTCCCGCATTACCGTTGTATCGGCCCACTCGCAGCTTGTAGAATTCACTTTCTGGCTCCAGACGGAAGCTGGCGTATTCTGCGAAAACTTTCCGTCCCGACCAGTCCTCCATGGTTATCAACAACTTGTAGTTTCCTTGGTTTGTCAGCCAGTAGATGTTTTCCAGCCCCAGCCAATACTCTCCGTCGATGTTACCAAACCCTTGCTACAGGAAAAAAAAGAGAGTAATGAATTATCCTCTAGTATTGATTTGTCCTCTGTCAACACCTTAAGTATTATGGTGTTAGGTGCAAAGGCTCAGGACTATACATTATGTTGCGGCACAGAAATTTTATTCAAGCCTACCAGCTACACAAAAATCTAGTCAACTAACTATCAACACTAAACTGGCATTAGATAAGAGTCAATAAAACTCAAGAAGGATTGGAGTTGGATCGTTTGTGGCAACGTAAGGATTCTAAGCTGATAGCATGTTTAACTCCACCTCCCAGCTCTGCCTGCTCTTCTCCTACCTCTGGTGTTCTTTCATTATGAGAAGCAGACCGACAAAGTCGAATGCTGAAAGACACCATTAATTGGCCTCACCTTGTACGTTTCCCAGTTCCTGAAGAAATTGACCGATCCATCCAAACGCCTTTGAATTACCGTCCAGCCACCGGGATCTTGCCTCTGATCACACCAGACTTGCATCAATCGGTTTGTGTTTTCAGGCTTGACAAGATATATGGAACTGGTCCCGTGGCCATCTTCTAAAGCTTGTAAACAGTCTCGCCAAGGACCTGGTGGAAAATAAGAGACACCACATTTCTTTCTTGTCGAGTGCCGGGTCTCAATTCTAGACAGAGTCAAATAGGTTTCCTGGCTGATTCTTGTTTCATGAGAACTAAACTTCATTTTACCTTCCTAGATTCTGGCATGCTGGTCGCTAAACTTAGAAGTACAGTCTTGTATTTTATTGTACCCACAACCTCTGGAGGCAAGTCGTTCCACTGGTTAACTGTTCTAATTGTCGGGAAGTTTCTCCTTAATTCCAGGTTGCTTCTCTCCTTGATGAGTTTCCATCCGTTGCTTCTTGTCCTGCCTTCAGGTGCTTTGGAGAATAAGTTGACCCCCTTTTCTTTGTGGCAGCCCCTCAAATACTGGAAGACTGCTATCATGTCATCTTCTCTTTGTTAGACTAGGCATGCCCAATTTCTGCAACCGTTCTTCATCTGTCTTAGCCTTCAGTCCCCTAATCATCTTCGTTGCTCTTCTCTGCGCTCTACCAACCAAGCTCAGAGAGCACCAAAGACCCCACAAACGTAATTTTACTGTATATTTAAAAAAAAAAACCAAAGCAACATCAAACGATTAATCTTAAAAATGTTTCCGAGACGTGTTTTGATAGCAGTGTAGAAAAGCTTCACGGACGCCGGCTAATTTTACTGTACAGTCCGATGAAGTGTGCAAACATATTTCCTGTTCCCTCCTCCCATCATCCCTCTGTAGAGACCCATTGAGTTGATTTTGGCTCCCATTATTGCAATTGACAGTTAAATGGCTTGCCAAAAACAGCATTGGAATAAGAATTGGCATAAGACAGCGGTCCCCAACCTTTACGGCTTGGCAGCCCTGAAAGAGGCGGGGAGGGGGTAGAGGGGAACCGGCCCACCACATGTGCAAATTGAGCTGCGCACGTGCGCACAGGCCTGCCACTTGTGCGAGTTAAGCTGTGTGCATGCGTACCGGCCCCGGGGGTTGGGGACCCCTGCCGTAAGTCCCGCTCTTGTTCAGAAAGGGAATCTGTTTATTTTTGCTCCAAATCTGGTGGTTTCTTGTATTTCACTTTTAATCATTTCCCTGTGCGTTTGTGTTAGCTTTATAGACCTTTAGTGGCAGCTTCAGTGTGAAAAATCTTCTATTTAACGTTCAGATAAATATCCACTTTTTGTTTTTGGGACTTTAGAAGAAAGGATGTAACTGGCTGGCCAGGTAGTGGGAGACCTTCGAATCTTCCCTTTCCTTAAACAATATGTGTGTGTGTGTGTGTGTGTGTGTGTGTGTGTGTGTCCTTCTGCACATGCTTAAGTTACGCCTTGTACACAATAAGCTGCACACCCCGGGCAGAAGTAAGACCAGGCTCCACATAACAAACATCTTTTTTATTAAAAAAAAAACGTGGTTTCCGGTATTAATCGTATCTGACTAGATCTGGCAACCGGATCTGTGGAATCCTTTCTCAGGTCCTGAAGTATTTCTTAAAGACAGAGTTTTCCATCCTTTAGAAACAAAACCAAACCAAACCAGGGGAGAACTGAACTCTTTTCAGTCCGAAAGAGTTAATTTGTCCTGCCGGTTGAACAAATCGCAAATCAAAGCATGGTTCTTTTTTTTTTTTCCCTCTTCTCCGGAGAGTTTTCCTAATTAAGAAAAAATACAAATGGCTGTTGATGATTTCATGCAGAAGTTTTGTTTGACTAAGAGTCCTGTTCTCTTTCATCGTCTTTTTTTTTTAAGTTTCTTAGGTGAGGGAGGGGGAAAAAGGGGGGCTTTTAATAGTGGTTTTTTTAAAGAACCCCACCTCTCTTAAGAATTCTCCCCCATGAGCTTCTCCCACTGTGAATCCCACTTACCATTCCTTTGGGCTTATTAATTTAATTGTTCAGATTCAATAAAGAGAGCTTGTTTATTTTCTGAACTGTAATAACCCCTTCTCCTTCCCCCTGACAAGCCCCACGCGCAGAGTTACTTTCCCCAGATTTGAAAACCTTATGGCCAAACAGTCTGTTAAAATATCAGAAGGAGGGACGCCGGGAGATCTGCTTTGCAGGAGATTCGAAGAGTGGCCGAGAGGGTTTTTTTTTTTTCTTTTCTTTTCTGGCTGATGAAACGTTCCCAGCGTAGCCTTTAGCTCCAAGGAATGAAGGAATGAAGGAAAATGCAGCTCTCCGTGTATCCCCATCCAAGAGTAGGAGGTAGGCTTCCCCAAGGAGCTACGTGTAAGATGGAGGAGAGGCTGTTCACGCTAAGCAGAATGGAAGGTAGACTTGAGAGGAGGGGAGGGGAGGG